CCGCTGCAAGAAGTCCCTCCTGGGCCGGCCCTTCCTGCCCAAGCAGGGCCAGATCTTCTGCTCACGCTCATGCAGCATGGACCAGGACCCCGAAGACTCGGACTCATCAGACTCTGCCTTCCAGAGCGCGCGCTCCCGCGAGTCCCGTCGTAGCGCCAAGGTGAGCAGGAACGGAGAGAGGCGGGGGGCCCAGCGCGAAGCCCAGAGGGAGGCGCAGCGGGAGGCTCAGCGGGAGGCGCAGCGGGAGGCCGCATCGCGCCCCTACTCCGCCGGACTGGACCCACTGACCCGCAGGATGGACCTGCTGAATCTCTCCAGCCAGGCACCTGGGCTGACTCGCGACCAGCGTGTGTGGAGAAGCCAGGGTGAGCTGAACACACATGAGGCTCCCGCTGAGAACCTCGCGGCCAGCCCCCTACAGGTCATTGGCCAGTGCAATCCGAAGGCGCCCTTTAATCCGGCCCAGAACCAGGGAAGCTCCGCCCACAGTCAGGCAAACCCTTCGGGAAACCCCTCCCTGGGAAAACAAGCAAACCCATGGGCGAAAGACCAGCTCAACGTCAAGAGGCCCCCCATGTCCGCCCTAAAGGGACGCTCCTTCAACGAGGACTGGATCCACCGCAGCCGAGACGAGTTCTTCCCACCGAAACTGAAAGCGCAGATGAGCTTCAACGAGGCCTCCAGCAGCGGGTTCTCAGAGAACAGGCCCGCTGGTCTTTACGGGTTCCACAGGGACGTAGAACCCCAGCTGGGCAGGACCAGGAACCCCATCAGTGGCCTCAGTTTTAGTAAGCAGCTCACCCCGTTAGCACAAACGCCAAGGAGCTCAGTAGAATCGTTAGCGCTATCCAACGCTACAGGTATATACTGCATTTGTTAGGATTCTGAAATGTTTCTGAAACCAATGCTAATTTAAAACTGTATACTTTACATTCATCCTCCTGTTTTTTATTCTTAATTGTCTTTCTCCAGTTATCATACTCCTTTGGCTTACTTAACAGCATGATAAGCAACAATGTCCCATTCAGGTCAACTCTTAGCGGTAACATAGAATATATATATAAGTGACATCCATGTTGAGTTTTATACAAGTTTGCCAGTTAACTTTACTCTCACTGCACAGGTCCTTCGGTCGATGGTGACAAGTTCAGGCAGGAGCATCTGTCCAGGTTCTCCATGCCAGACTTGAGCAAAGACTCTGGCATGAACATGTCCGAGAAGAGCAACATGGGCACGCTGAACTCCTCGCTGCAGTTGCAGAGCTCGGAGTCGCTGCAGAGTCTGACGTCTGTGCACCCGTTCCCCAGTGTGGCCCTGCCGGTCAGGCTGCAGTACCCGCCTCAGTATTACAAATCGCCCCAGAGCTTCCAGTTTGGGGACGATGGCCACGCCAGTGGCTACAGTGCCCAGCGCACGCCCAGCAGCCGGAGGCGCGCCCGCACCCCCGAGGCCCCGCCCCCCAGGCGTCGACACCGCCGCCATACGCGCCGCTCCCGCCTCTCGTGCTCCGACAATGCCCTACACCTGGTGAGTGAGCGACAAACCCCCGCCCACGGCCCGCTGCCACCGCAGCATCTGCGCGACGACTATGGCCACTTCCCGCAAGCTAGGCCCAACAGGGGCCTCTTCGGGGCTAACTGGTATCGACCGGAACCCTGCCGGCCGTGTCCGCGGACGACCTCTGACCTCAACCTGCAGAACCCCATAGAGCGGTACCCGGGGCAGCACTTTGACGGGTACGGCGATGGGGAGGAGTGGTGCTCCACCTGCTCCTCATCCTCACAGTCGGATGATGAGGGCTACTTCCTGGGCGAGCCCATCCCCCGCGCCGTTGGGCTGCGCTACATGACTGGGGAGGAGCTTAGGCACCACCAGTATGGCTCCCCGGGGCTGGGCGGCCGGGGGCAGCTGCATACCCGCAAACACCGCAAGACTAAAAACTGCATCATCTCATAGCACGGGAGAAGATACCGGAACCTTCTCCAGCCCCCTCGTCTCACATCGCACTGTCTTTTGGTCTTTCTCAGATGGTTTCTATTGACTTACTCTCTATGCTCTGATTTTGACAAGTGATGCCACAGCCTGTAAATGCCTATCGTGTCCTGAGGTTTATGAGTGGGTGACAAATGTCCGGTGTAATATGCCCATTAGCAGCACACAGGCTTTCGCATGTGTACCAGGAACTCTGTCAGGTCCGTACATTGACTGTCACACTTCTGAAAATGAAACTGCCGGCTGTGAGGCACAGACCACCAGAAGAGGAGTGAGGGAAAACAGAAAGAGAAAGAAAGAAAGAAAGAAAGAAAAAAAGAAAGAAAAAGAAAGAAAGAATGTAACCATCATTAAATTAGCGCCTGAGTGTCCCCTGAAAGAGCTCTAGATCAGCATCTTGGTGATGGACCACTGAGAAGTTCCCCCAAACCAAATTCTGGCCAATGCCCAGCTGTGAACCAGTGTACTGGCCACAGTGCTGGGGAAGATTTTTACATTTAGCTCGTCTGTGCGGCCCGCCAGCCTCTGTGGAGACAAAAAAAAAAAAAAAAAAACAATAGCTCAACTTAGCATTTTCTGTCCTCCCTTCTACCATGTGTAAAAATAGCACTGATGTCATGTATGCGCTGGTGTTTTATCAGAGTGTGCAAAAGCAAATTGTCGAGGCACAGTATAGTTCAGTATAGTCCTGCTTCTTATGCAATGGTCTTGGTTTTGGCTTTACAGTTTCATTGAGTTTTATAAACTATATATATATACATATATATATATTTGCTAATTTAAAAGGGGTCTTACTGTAAATAGAAAAAGTCTGCCATATTTTTTATATTTTATATTTACATAATTTAATGTATTACATAATAGAGATAGGTGTGCATGCAGTTTTATTTGTTGATATTGTTGTGTATTGGAATTCAGGAGTATTTAAATGAACCTTTGTGAGTCGTGGTGTCCTTAACAGGAACGCCACAGAGATATAACTCACAGGCGGGTTTCTTTCAAACAAATGCAGTACGTAACTGTAAGTCCTCTGTATTCTGTTTACTTCTGCGGCAGGTGTCTGTTCCACATTGTGACAGTTAAAATGGGCTCTCTTTGGCAAAGGATCTTCATCTGCTTCTCTAATAAAGGCATAAGCACAACATGTGTTGCTTTCGATGATGCCACTCAGCCCATTTGTCATGTTTTTATTGGTTTATTTGTCAAGGCCGGTGGGTGATGCCCTGGCATCCTGGCATCACACCAGACGTGGGACGCCGAGGACACCCTTACAGCACCACCCACTGTTGGAGCTGAATGAAGAATGTACAGCATAAACCAAAATAAAAAGGCATTTTATGGTTTTTGTTTATGTGTCATTAGAGGGCTTTCATGACGCTCTTACACTTCTCATTAAAATGCTTTTATGCTCCTATTACACATACATAGGTGACTTACACAATCCAGGGTATGTGTTTCCAAAATGTCAGGCCACATGAAATTTAATTTGAACTGAGACAGGAAACAAGGCCTCCTGGCAAAATTTGATGCTTTAATAATACCAGTATTGAACAGACATTCCCATTTCTTTTGTCAGAGATGCCCAAATGAGCAGTTTGAAAGGACAGATTTAAGAGAGACCCATCCACACAGAGAAAAACAACTATCGCATAATACATACTTCTCATGGGCGTTTTTTTGTTGAACAGAGACCCACCCAGTAACCATAACAATTTTTAAACTTTCTATTGATAGTTGACATGAAGAGTATAATTTAAAAAGGACCAGATAGCATTTTGACATTGATAGAAAATTCTTTAGGAGTGTCATAAAAATACATTCCTCCCCATTTACCAGGTTAAGATTTGCACAACAACCCCTGAAAAGTGAAACAAAATTGTTTCTATATGGATATGCACATATCAGAGAGTACACAGGAGTGCCTATTCAAACATGGAGAGACGGTTAAAAATACTGTAACAGTACAGGAAATTCAGTTGCCCCAGCCGTTTATGTCCTTTACATAACATGTAACAAATACCCCATACAATACTAAAGGAATATGTTTTCAATGAAATGTTGGTAGGTAAATAATCTTTTCCTTTGCTATTATTCTGATCACCCATTTTACCGAAAAAAATATGAATGATGCTTATTTTGACGAGTCTGAGGTACAAGCAGACCCTTTTCCAGGCTGCCTGCAGCAAAAAGACATCTGTCTAGTTGCATCCAGTTTTCTACAGATCATCCAACCTGGAAGATATCCAGATGAGTCATATTTGGGTCACTTTTCTGGTCTTGTGCTTGACATGCTATCTAATCTGAGGCAATTTCTGGGTAAGACATGTTAATACTTCATGAATGGCTTATCGTCTTGAGAAAGCTTAGTGAGGAAGCTGGGAGATACGGAATTTTATGGTATGGCCCTTTTAAATTAAATCTTACACAAAAAGTCCCTTTGTGAAGGAACTTTATGTGTGCATATGATTTCTAAGTATTCTTTTGAAGTCCAACCTAAGAAGCCCATGTGACTGGAGAAATATGATATTCCTAGCTTTGAGATTGCATGTTCAAGGTACACTAAACACTAAACTCTCTAATCTGGTTTGAAAAGAAACACTAAAGCCTGCAGGTGAACATTAACCTTAAGACATGGGAAATGAAGTTTGGTATTCCATGGGACATAAAGGTGTCAATGGGAGATGTATCTTCGTTAGCATGTACATTAAAATACTGGCTACATTCATTTATTGTGTCAATCTTTATATTATAGTCTTGGGGTACAACATTAAAATCTCGCTTAGGCAGTGTTTGTTGTGTTTTTTTCAATCCAAAAATGGGTCTTGCGTGTAAATACACAAACACGACACGACTATCTCCATTGCTGAGAGGGATAGTGCAGAAAAGGGAAAATCAGCCAATGATCTTTGAAAGATCCATCACATGTCTGCTCTTACATGTACATTGTGAAGGATTGCATAATCTTCAGGTATCCATGACAACAAAATGCAAACTCAGAATGAACCAAATAGATCTAAATGTCAACACAAGGTTGAATACACTTTTATTTATAATCAGGTGGCAAGAAGAATTGCATTCCTGTTTAAATATATATATAAAAAAGAAACATTGTTTCATCTGGGCTGTTTTTTGTGGGAGATTTAACGGATGAATACAATTTAGGTCTAAGCTTTATTACTGACAGCAGTGACAGGCACCCAGACAGACAAAAACAGACCCATTAGCCAATGAGATAAAGTCTAACTGTTTGTATGAGATCAAGGGTCATGGATGCACCAAGTCGTACTCGTGAATAAACTGCTGCATGGCTGTCGCACACCGCAGGCCGATCTCCTGCAGATTCTCCCGCAACGATGCCTGAATAGGGTGCTCAAGAGATGGATCTTTGGCGATCAGCATCTTCACCACAAGCCCGAATGTGTCACAGTCCTGCTTGTAGACCTGTTCATCACAATGGAGTTTAAGAGAGAGAATGTTAAATTGCTGAAAATAGGACAGGTTCTTATGAGCTTCAGCCACCAGTGTTGCAGCCCTGTGTCCTGTAAAACCACTAATATATAAAGTGTGTAGCAGCCATTGTGAGCAGGCTTTGCACACTGGCCGTCCACGTGTTCTCCTGTATAGAGCTCTGTCGGCAGTGCTGGTGCAGACACCCACCTCTTCAATCTCATGCCTCTTCTGCTGGATGGCCCGACTCCGCATGGCTGCCCTCCTAACAGATCCCGGGATGTTCTGCTCTTGTGAGTCCTGAGTCAGGCAGTAAAACTGGACATGAGAAACGCTCAGGGAGAGAGACCAAGATCTGATGATCATGCAAGCCGTTATTAAACAGGAGCTCTTTAATCATTTTGTTACGTAGTGCTTAGCCAGGAGTAATCAATATAGCTAAATGGCAGATTTAAAATGCATGTAATAGACCCTTATAGTTCTAAAAGGGAATAATAGAAGCATAAATCGAAGTGCCATGGTCCCTGCCCTTTCTGGGACAGGTCTCAGGCTAACTGCCGCCTTGCACTGCATAAATGGTTATGGCTGGATCTATGGATGGATGAATGGAGAGATAATCAATCCAATATTCAGCTACAAATGAAAAATTGTAGACATATCAATTCATAAGGTTGTAACTATACTCCTTTTAATTTTCTCAAACACTATATCTTCATAAACATGCTATCTGTCTTTATTTCATAGCCAAACACCCACACTGTCCTAGGCTGCATAAGCCAGTGCTAGCTAACATTTTTCTGTTCTTTTTATCAAACAAATGAGAATAATTTCAAGACCATATCGCTTGGATGCTAACTGGAAGTTAAAATTAAATGCAAATGCAGCCACCAAAGTTACAGTGATGGCACCTTTGTCAGCTTGTGAGCAAACTGCAGTGAGCTTTGAACAACACTCATACCTGAGAGACCTGCTTGGATTGTACTGTGAAGGAGAGATGCTCCTTTCCTTTTGCTGGTGTTGAACTCGTGGACGACTGAAGAGAATCTTGGAAACAATGACACACATAGGGAAAGGTCAAGCGTCTCATTTGGTACATTGACCATGATATATTCATTTTCACATGTGGTCGATTTTGTGCTGCACGCAGTTGTTGTGGCTTTTGCCACTGCAACAGAAACCAAATGGCTCATGCCATCTAAGTAAATTTTCAACATTACATAACCTGGACAAATCCATTGAGGACAATTAAGAGAATTTGCCTCAGAGCATAGAATTGTATTCCTTACTTGTGCAGTCATACCATCAGCTGGCGTTTACGCAAGACCCGTGAGTCACCATTTAATCTCCCACAGGCACATACAGCAACCTGTTCAGAGTCCTCCTCAGGGACTTTACAGCTCCATTGCACAAGAAAATACCATAATCAGAAAAAAAAACATTGCCATTTTAAAGTCTTAGTCCCACCTGATGAACCCACTCTATTAGAGCAAAGTACTAATGGAGACATCAAAAGTTAAACATTATATTTGCTCTCCCCCTTCAAACCGTTAAAATAGTTTTTTATGCGTCCATTCTCTGAGTCAAAGGCACATGTCATGTGATCACTGCCCACATTAAACTGCACGGCGCAGTTAAAAGAAAGTAGCTTCCCAGCTACAAATCTTATCTCAGAAAACTGGAGAAAAGGAAAGGACAGAAATAATCAAAAGAATATGGTGTTTAATAGCATGGAGTTTCATTCTTTGTTTGTTCTGATCAGTGGGTCACAGCCCCCCCCCCCGGATCCCACTCACAGCCAGTCCATGTTTTTGATTGAGTCTAATGCCTATACAGCCAAGCCAGGCAATCAACGAGGATACAATCAGCTGTATAGGTGGTGGAACAGTAAACAGTATTGACTGGTAGGGTGGCCTATGGCCCAGCAATGCAAATACCAGCCTGGCCATGAAAAATGCCCTAACTGTTCTCCTTTCCCACATGTCCCACATGCATGAGGGTTCATGGGAAGATGCAAACACAGTCTGCACGCGCTTAGTAGCCCCCGATTTGCATCTATATCTCTTTCCTCGCCTGTGGTGGATAATTACCAGAAAGACAAGGTTCTGATAATAAGAGGCTGACATGTGGTTTTTCTATAGGCCTGCCAGACAGTGACAGGATAAGTTAGTTTTGAGATGTAGAGGGACTTCTAAACAGTTATGCTGCTACTTCGACTCAAGAGCAGCTAGCTGAAATGATTGGGGCATCTCAGAAGAATACCACCTGGTTGAGTTCCATTTAAGCTATTCAGAGTACGTCCTAATGGTCAGAGGCCCTGGCTGAGGCAGAGAAAAGATGGAAGGGATTATATATCCAAAAGGCTTTGCTAGGCCTTATCCTGAAAGATACAGTCTTCTCTTGGAGAGATGTTTGATAGGTGGGCTATTACTGTGACCTCAGGAAGAGCCTCATCAGCAAAAGCAGTGTGAAGATTATTATTATTATCCTCGTCATCATCATCGTTGTTGTTGTTGTTGTTGTTATTATTATTATTATTAGTAGTAGTAGTAGTAGTAGTACCACATTTCTTTAAATAGCAACTGGAATTCAGCTAAAAGCTGGGTCTCAGATGATTGTTGGGGGTGTGGTCAAAAGGAACAAAAAATGGCTGGATCCCACATACAGGCCGGGGACAAAAAATGCAAAGATAAGGGTGGATAAACTCTTGGGGGCTCATTTATAAAGGCTTCGTACGAATGAAATAGACGAGAAACATTCATATGCATATTTATACTAGAAGATTTTAGGATTTATAAAGAAACAACATGAATAAAACATACCTAAAGTGGGTCACGTGAACATTTTGGAGAAAAATAGAAAAAAGCGACATCTAGAGTTCAGATAGAAATATACATCTACCATACTTAGGTAATACAGTAGTTTTTCAGTTCAGACTTTGCTTGCAGCTAGATCTGATAATTATTAGATATTTGACTGTGCTGTAAAAAAGAAATATATATTAATGTTAATATTTGTAGAAACTCATTAAATGTTTTGTGTTTTGTGTTATGACACCTTGGCGTATTTACAGTAAACTCCTGTACATGTCTGGTCATATTTCACACAAGTTAAACTGATCGTATGTATGATTTCCATGACGCTTATGGAAAGCTGACTTTTAAGAATATACTTTTAGGAAACAATTATTTATACCCTTAGCCAGCTCTTAAATTTTTGATGTCCTTGCACTACTGTAATCGACCATTATAAAGTTTAAGAGAATATTTACAAGTAAATATACTCAGTTTGTTTAATAGGATTCAAACTGACACTTTGTATTTGTATTAACAGAGAACTGCAGTAACAGAGGGAAATAAAAATGAAGGCCTGCCTCTAATACAAGCCTGCCTCAAGCAAAAGCTAATGCAAGCCTGCCTCAAACAAAGACCTGTTACTTCTGCAGCTTAGGTAAGTAAAGGCCTGCCTCTAATTCAGGCCTGCCTCAAACAAAGTCCTGTTACTTTTGCAGCTTTGGTTAAATAAAGGCCTGCCTCTAACTCTAGCCTGCCTGAAATAAAGGCCTGTTACTTCTGTGGCTTAGGTAAATAAAGGCCCTGGCAACCATTTCAGGAAATATGGCATTTTTACAACAACAAACCTACTCGTCATTAGCAAAGACTGCCATCTCTTAAATCCTAATGAGAGTTCACGAAATTAAATGACAGTTTTAGACTGCAAGATATATGGATGGCCGCTTCTTAATAGGAGACTTACTTTTCTGGTCCTTTGACATTCCTTTACAGTCCATCCCACTATTATTCACACGAGCAGACTGGGAGGTAAACGAGTGGAAGCCTGCAGATCCTTTGAAAGGCCGGTGATAAGTCCTCACACCTGCCATAGGATGATACCTCTGGTACCGAAAGCTGAACCCGGGTCTCCAGAAATATGGTTCATCCTTCATGAACCTGAAAAAGGAAAAACACACTGTTTACCAGAGTGACCGCTCTCAGAATATTATTTTGGTAGTACACAAGTTCTGGTATACTTACCGTGATCTGAAAAATCTTCCGCCATATCTTGGTCTAAATGGAGCTGCATGAAAGCCATTTTCATTTTTTCTGAAAGGCGTCTTATCTTTCTACATGATTGAAAATTACATAAAAACAATTTTTAGTTTTTTTTTTATTTTTAACATCACAACTAATTCTCTATACTACACAGACAGAGCTGCCTCTACCTTTCAGGGGCAAAACAATACTCGGGAGGCCTCTCTATCAAGAAAAAGGATGATAATTTCACTTCCTCCACAACTCAAATAATTAGGGGTCCTAGACAACTGGCTATTCTTCACTATTTGGTGAAATTTAATGAATACATGGAACGACTGGGGTGGCCCAGGGGAGAGGTTTGGGAACTGAAACAATCCAACAAGATAATCAGTAACAGAAGAGAAGAAATTCTACTTTATTTTTTGTTGTGTTACTGTTCATTTACATACATTCTAATATGAAATTGTTTTTTTTCCTGACCAAATATACACTAACTACGCTGAAAAACAGCTTCAAACATTTTCTTTGACTATCCAAGACTAGCACAGTTCTGTACACAAAATATGTTTATAAATATATTTCTCGCGTTCTCTGACAATAGCACCCCGCTGCCCACAAAAAAAGTTAGCACATTTTTTTCTGCCTTAAATATACCACAGTCACTTCGTTTCCTGTGAAACTTTCATCTGGTTTGCTCCCTAACGAAATAGTTACTTGTTTATAGATCATTGTCAGTTCATGTCAAAGCATTAAGCAAGCTGATTAACACTAATTTACCCTAATATTAAATATTGCAATAAAAAGCAAGAAAATTATTTCAGTAGGACTACAGGTAGTAAAACTCGGTACTTGTGAACATTGACACGCGTGGGACACGCCCAGGGAAAATCATATATGTATATGTATATATAAATATATGTATGAAGAAAAATACTCTTAATAATGAAGTAATTCAAAGTTTTCCATACTGCACATGCGTAAAAATGCATTTAGTGACGTATATGCAGAACGGCCCATATGTTATAAATGTAACTCAAGCACCTTGTGGTCACGTTTAGCAAAACTCTCTCTTTGTTCTTTGGACTTTTTCCTGCCGCCACAGGACTCGTCTTCGCCCTGTCTTTGTTGCAAAGTAGTCTGAAAGCAAAATAAATTAAAGTAAAATAAACACACGCGTGCTCATATCTTTGTGGGGACCGTCTATTCATTTCTAATGGCAAAATTTCAACAATAACAGCCTTAACCCCTACCCAACCCTAACCTTAACCATAAGTAACCAAACAAAAACATTTGGCATTTTTAGTTTTTTGATTGCAGTGATAGATTTTCAAGTAATTGGAATTTCCTCATGGTGAGCAAAAAAAAAATGGTCCACGCAACATCAAAAAACAGGTTTGTATCACCTCGTGCAGACATTTAATATTAGTCCCCACAATGTAATACATACATAAGCACAAACACACACTGCAATGAGCATGTCTCATTTAATTAGGAAAAATTAGACTTTACTGACTTATTACAGTTTACAAAGATCGTGGCACAGACATGGAAGCCAATAATTCAAATGAGACTCGCACACATGGTTTTATATATATATTTTCATATATTTTTATATATATGCATATAGTATTATTATTATTATATTAATAAATTATGCACAAAGAAGAGAGCCGGACATAGTGTTGTACGCACTGAGTGTTCGGTTAATTGGCTTGAACCGCATTATATCGGAAAAAAATACCTGTGTTCGATTCCAGTAGGTTAAACCATGTGATTTAATTATTTTTCGGAGCAGAAAGGCAAAGTACAATTAAGAAGAAAACGCGTTTTATAATCGTTGCATGCAGCGGATTGCCAAAAAAAGATGCCCGAAAAAACGCACGTTTCGTGCATATTATTAAGAAACAACTGAGAAAGCAAAACTAAAAATTACGGTTGTTTTCATTTAGAACTAGTCCTAAATTCAGGCATGCAATAATGATGACATCGTAGGAAAGACAGAAATACACACTATATCGAGCTCATATTGTAGTACATTGGAGAGTTATCTCGAAATCATTCATACCATTTTTATACCAAAACCGTAATGCTGGAAGCTGCACCGACGTCTCCAGCGTTTATTGTTCCTTTCCTGCCTGTCACGTACTGAAAGAGGAGGAAGAATCAAAAAAAGTTTCACTTTCGATTTCTAAGCCATGTCTAATTATAGTTTCAGAATCAAGTTGGCACATGAAAACACACAACCCACTGAAAAATTTAAATAAGTACTACCTATTTAAAGCTAAAAAGTATACTTCAATGCCTTATTTAATTATGAGATATTTTGTGCATATTAACACCAGACAATATCCAGAATATGTAAAGTGAATATCAATTATTAAAAGGTGAAACATTAAGCTAATATCTTCTGTTCAGTGCTGATAATGGTTAATTTTGGTTAATGCTTGTACACGCACACGCACAGGACCTGGGCAGGCACACGCTACTGTTCAAAAGTTTGCAATGACCGAGAAATATCCTTGCTTTCTGTTTCAGTCAAAGTAAAATGACTTTGTATCAAAAATGTAATCAGGACATTGGTGATGCTGCACATAACTGATTTTAGTGAAAATCTATATAGGTATACAAAGGTCAGATTTCAGCAACCATCACTCCTGTGTACCAGCGGCACATCGTATGAGCTAATCCTACTACATGATGTTAAAATGCTGATTCTTCATTAGAAAACCCTTATCCGGCTTTGTTAGCAAGGTGAAAAGCACTGCTGTTTAAAGAAGCAGTAAAACTGGCCTTCTTTTCCAGCCCCTGCAGCTGCAGCCAGAATGGGCCAGCTGAGCGATTGAGGCCTGTGGCCCTGTATGTCGGCTGCCTGAAGGACAGGACGTCCTGCCGATCCCTGGAGGACACGGGGTCCACCATCACCCTGGTCCTCCCAGGCCTGCTGCTGGGCACCGACAGGCACACGGCCACGAAGGGGAAAAGGCAGCAAATCACACTGGAGGACACACGGCGGTGTGGGAGGGGATTCCATCCAGTGTTCCAGCTCTCACCCTGCATGCTGGGGTTTGCAAGCATTTTTTTGTCCTTTATTTTCAATAAACCAAACATTAAGCTTCCGAGTGGTGTGCTCTTTGTGAAAAAGTGTAAATGGAGTGTTTGAATTTTTTTTTGTTGGAATTTTTAGTTATGGTGACTTGAGCGACTCTTTCCTCCTCTCTGTGTCACTGGGGTAACCATTCATTTGCACTCTGAGTAACTGGAGCATCCCCCTAACAGTACAGCAAACCATGGTGGAGACTATATGCAAGATCATCGTGGAGGAAAGGGTGCAGACAAACGGCGTGACATGTTTCCCAGTTTATTAGCAATTAAGCCATTAAGATTATTTTTGTCCTCAGTTAGAAGAAGAGTTCAAAGCAATAGCAGCAGCAACACACTCTTTAACCAAGGTAAGTCAAAAATATGTCAAGGTAACCCCATATTATGTGTATATTATGAATTATATTTCATGTTGATGTGTTATACAATTAAATACATATTATATATTATATATACATATTTAATTTAATCGATTTTTAATATATCATTTATATATATAAATCAATGCATTTATTGACTGTTAATTACCAAAAATTGCTGTTCTGTTTCCGTATTTAATGCATCCAAATTGCCTGCCAAACACTTCCTGGAACTATCTGAAGTTTACATGAACAATGTGACAATCAAGCGTTTTGAACATCCTTTCAGACGCTTCATGACTTTCAAACCGGCTACCAAGTGAGTACAGGCTGTAACACGAAATCCATCACGTTGTCGCAGCATCTTGTGTCATAAAAATTTATGAAAAGTTTGATTTTCATTTCTCCGTCATCCCTTGGTGCGTGATATTCTTCATTGCTCTACTGAGGGGGTGGCCAATCTTATCCAGAAAGTGCCATTGGGTATGCAGGTTTTCAGTGCAACTCCCTAATTAGATTACTAATTAGGGGACTGATCGGCTGAGGAGTCCTCACACCCGGGTTTGAACAGCTGACCTATAGGTTATCCCAAAAACCTGCATACACACCAGCCCTTTGCGGGTAAGATTGGCCACCCCTGCTCTATCGTCCAGGTTTCAACGTAAGCGATGGCCTAACAGCCCAGGGCCAGTAAAAAAGTATGTTGGGCAAGTTGATTAGCCAGTCGCTGGCCCATTCAGGCCAGTGACTGTGTTGCCGCCAATCACAATCACAATGTAGCATGTTGAAGGTAAGATACTCAGCAAGCTGATGTGTGCTAGTATAACTTTGTTCATCAATGACAGTAGGCACAAAATGTGATTGTGTCATATGACGCCAAACAGCCAGTCAGCTAGCAACCAAGCCTCATTATGTATATGTTATGCCACATTAACCATCTGCCTTAAGCATAGCTACACTAGCTACCTAGCTAATATGCTAGTCTGTTTCAAGTTGTGTCTGTTGCATTGCAAATACAAAAATATGGAAGTACTTACACAACCATATTCCACATCTCTGTTAGTGCTTAATGGCACCTGGTTGCTTTTGTTCTTATTCATAATGGCATATGTTATGATATGCAAGCGTCATGTTCAAACTGCAGAAGATAAGGACAGTTTGAGAACAATCCATCGTAACCTAAGGAGACACTGTATAAATAAAGTGACTTTTTATCGTTTGACCTGTTTTTATCTAGGCAAGCTGCCTTTTTGAGGGGGGCTGGCTCTTCTTCCAGTACAAAGCATCAGCTTCATAAATGTATTTGTATGCAACATTTAAACGCCACCCTGTGGTTGCTTGCACTGTAAAATTAAAGCGGTTTTTCACTGAAAGTGGTTTGATAAATGATTAATATATTACTGCTAACTGGTGTTTCAGTTAAAGATACGTGTGCTTGTGCACTTTTTTTTCCTTTTCACTGCACTCCTATGTATATAAACAAAAAGTCCTTTCAGTCTCAGTACCTATTTGGGACACTAAACTACATTAGGTTGCAATACTAAACTATCTGGGATACTAAACTATATTATGCTTATTTAACTGATATTAGCATGACAAAAAAAAATTGCTATTCCAGTATAAACTGCATTCACATTTTCAACCAGTTACCTACATATACCTGTTGGACAACATCTGACAATATGACAAATCAACACACATACAGACACACATTAATCTTAAATCGATTGTGTGAAATTTTACTGTAACTAGATCACAATTGTATATATAATTCTGCTCAAGGCCACCAAACTCCTGGATGATGTCGTTTTCAACATTCAGCTGAACAGAGCAGTGCTATATTGAGAAGTCTTGTGGGCGTGTTAGCGCAATGTACCCTACAATGTGTGATAGCGATCTAGCATTTTAAAGCTTGCTCAGTGCCATTGGCTTTTCTTTTGCTTTCTCATGGAAAAGTGGATGAATGAATGAAATCATGATGCTTTAACTGCCATTTTTCACAAGTGTGAGTACAGATAGATTAGAGTTCCTTAGTTTTCCCATATTCCTTCTTGCACCCCTTTATGACATGCAGAAATACACAGTTGATAGTGAAGCTTGGAGTTTGAGTACAGGATCTGGCATCCCTTGAGCATTTGGGGGGGGGTTAAGGTCCTGATTCAAGGGCCCAGTAGAGATGTATCAATTCTGCCGAACACAGGATATGGACCGGCAACCTGATGACAGGCAGAGAGGCCTGAGCCACTGAGCATCACACCGTCCCCCAAGGTAAACAGCGGTAAATGCTTCAGATCTTTATGGTATGTCACAGTAGTATATGAAGATAGTTAATATTCTGCATCAATGTGAATGGAATTTTCATCTTTATTTGTCTGTTCATCCATCCATCCATCCAACTCTGGCCAGGTTTATGGATTGGCCTGGAGTTTGGGGTTGAAAGGAATAGATTAGTAAGATGCTGTAAGTATATAAATCAGATGTCTGCCCATGAGAAAAGCATTAACCTCAAAGTAGTCAGTGTGTATACAAACTAACTCTACACCAGTCAGCCATAACATTAAAACAACCTACCTTATATTGTGCAAGTCTCCCTCGTGCTGTCAAAACAGCTCTGACCCATCGAGGCATGGACTCCACAAGACCTCTGAAGGTGTCCTGTGGTATCTGGCACCAAGACATCAGCAGCAGATCCTTTAAGTCGTGTAAGTAGAGAGTTGGGGCCTCTATTGATCAGACTAGTTTGTCCAACACGTCCCACAGATGATTAATTGGATTGACATTTGGGGAATTTGGAGTCAACAGCTTGAACTATTCTTGAACATTTTTGGCAGTGTGGCTGGGAATATTATCCTCCTGAAAGAGGCCACTGCAACTGGGAAAACTGTTGCCATAAAGGGTTGTATATAGTCTGCAACAATGTTTAGGTAGGTCAGGGGTGGGCAATCTTATCTGCAAAGGGCCGGTGTGTATGCGGGTTTTTGGGATAACCTTTAGGTCAGCTGTTCAAACCCAGGTGTGAGGACTCTTCAGCCAATCAATCCTCTAATTAGTGACCTAATTAGGGAGTTGCAGCAAAAACCTGCATACACACCGGCCCTTTGCGGATAAGATTGCCCACCCCTGAGGTAGGTGGTTTGAGTGAAGGTAACATCCACATGAATGCCAGGACCCAAGGTCTCCCAGCAGAACATTGCCCAGAGCATCAACTTCAAGAACTGACTGTGCATTTGCCTAATATATAATGGCACCCTTGACAGGTGCCATTGTAACAAAATAATCAATGTTGTTCACTAAAACAGTCAGTGGTTTTAATGCGATAGATGTATGCAGCATAAGTAACAATGTATTGGTAGCACTTTACAAGGCACAAATACTTAGTAATAACTCATTTACTACTGAAGTATAAATCGTGAAGAAATCATGAACAAATATCGCTACTTGTATAAAAGCTGTATCATGATTCATTAATGATGAACAAACATGACATTATTTCACGGGTTATTCGTTAGTTGTTCCTTCAGTGGTTCCTTCAGTATTTCACAAGGGTTTACAAAATGAACACGTATAGTAACATATAGTGATATCGTTGGGATGAAATAAGCATCATGATTCATTAATGATGAATTAACATAAGATCAGTATGTAACAGACTTAATTTGTGGTTAACTAATACATAAGTAGTAGCATATGCTATTTGAGCCTCGTCAAATAAAGCTTTACCAAAGTATCATTCACTATTATCATCTTTAATTATTGGTACCGTTACCACTTTTGTCAATCGTATTCTTTATTCTTCTTCCAATTATTCTTTTGCATTGTGGCCATTTATATATGTAAGGTACTGGCTGCCTAAATTTTCCTCTGGATCAATAAAGTAAATGCAGTAACGAAGTCTCGTCTCGTCTCACCGGATAAGGCGCTGTCGGGAGCCGGACACCAGGGGGCAGCACCATGCATTTCGATCTATATTTCTCCTTATGATAAAAAAAGCAGGAGGAAGAAGATACTCACTTCCGGTGTAATCAAAAGAGGAGATAATGCTGCTGAGTTATATGAAATAAGGCATTTCGTTTTTTTCTCCTTTGTCATATTTTGCATGTAGAAGTGGTCTTCGTAGATATAATTTGTCGTGTCTGTTCATAGCAGCGATTAACAAGGTTTTCTAAAATGCCGTTAGAAAATCTGGAGGAAGAGGGCTTGCCTAAAAACCCCGATCTGCGAATCGCCCAGCTCAAGTTCTTGCTTACGATTGAAGAAAACAAGCAAGATGTGGAAATTAAAACGGAGCTTATGGAGGCGATTAAACATAACAGTAAGTACAGAAGCATGAAGTTCCATTTTATTTGGGGGCTGGGGGAACAGATCGCTAACACTTTTTCCTGCCTCAGAGATTTGCAGCGTCATTTTAGGTCAGAGTAAATTGCCTCTGAATGTTCACAAAACCTCGGCCTGCCGAAAAGCTACTTTATGAAACTTACTAGTAGCGAAAAGGTTTGACTTAACATGGAACCAAAGTACTGTGGGCTGGTTCTGTAACTTGCTACTTGGGATGCTTGTGCTGGTGTGATTGTGTTTCGGCTTTGCTAGGGACTCTCTGCCTGCAAGTAGCAATGGGGCAGATACATCTGATGCACTTGCATAAATTGTGTAAAAGTTATCAAGCTCCCTTGTTAGTCATCGTCCTTCCTGTTTACCTGCCTGCGTACGTTTACTCTAGACATGGCACCTTACTACGAAGTTATCTGCAAAGAGCTGAAGTGGCAGGTGGACACCGACCTGTTGACCAAAATGAAGAAGGAGAATGAGGAGGTGCAGAAGCGCCTGGATGATGTTCTGGAGGATGCTGAGAAGAACCTCGGCGAAAGTGAAATCCGCGACGCAATGATGGAAAAAGCAGAGTACCTCATTCGCATTGGTGACAAGGTGGGTACTAATGGCAGCTACTTCACGTGGTTATCCATCAGCATAACATTTCATATTAGGCCAGTTTTTGCTGCAACTCCCCAATTAGATTACTAATTAGAGGACTGATTAGCTAATAAGTCCTTACCTGGGTTTGAACAGCTGACCTAAAGGTTATCCCAAAAACCTGCATACACACTGGCCCTTTGTGGATGAGATTGCCCACCTTTGCGTTAGACATTACTTGTTTTAGAAGTGAAAATCCTTATCAAATTTTTTTTATCTTTATATAGGAAGGAGCACTGACAGCATTCAGGAAGACTTATGACAAGACTGTTGCTCTGGGACATAGATTAGATATTGTTTTTTACTTGCTGAGAATTGGGCTGTTTTACATGGACAGCGATCTCATAATAACGAATACTGAAAAAGCAAAAAGGTAAGGAGAATTTGTCTATATATACACATCTGTACATGTGCAGTAAAATGTTTACCTTAAACCATTGCTTAACGTTTCCCTCCCCGTAGTTTAATAGAGGAAGGCGGTGACTGGGACAGGAGGAATCGTTTGAAAGTGTACCAGGGACTCTACTGTCTGGCCATCAGGGACTTCAAGGAGGCTGCAGAGCTCTTTCTGGACACCGTGTCCACGTTCACCTCCTACGAGCTGATGGACTACAAAACTTTTGTCACATTCACTGTGTACGTCAGCATGATAGCGCTGAAGAGACCGGACCTTCGGGAGAAGGTATGTGGGCGTATCTAGCTGCAACTGGGGCTCATGGAGGTCCTTTGCTGGCTTAGGGACAGAGGTCAAGTCTAACTACCGGCCCTCTTATGTTTAAATTGCAGGTAATAAAGGGTGCAGAGATTTTGGAGGTGCTACACAGTCTTCCCTGTGTACGTCAGTATCTGTTCTCTCTGTACGAGTGCAGGTATTCAGTGTTCTTTCAATCCCTGGGTGAGTAAACAGCATTTTCTTTGCATTAGTTCAACGTGTCAGACTCTTAAAGCATAAAATGGCTGCCTGACCCAGTGAACTCCAGGTGTTATGAGCAGTGTCTTGGCTTATGCAGCTGCAGTGGAGCAGGAGATGAAGAAAAACTGGCTCTTTGCCCCTCATTACCGCTTCTACGTGCGTGAGATGCGGATCCTGGCCTACAGTCAGCTGCTGGAGTCCTACCGCTCCCTGACACTGGGCTACATGGCCGAAGCCTTTGGCGTTGGCCCGGAGTTTATTGACCAGTAAGTTCCTGCTCATGCTATTGGATTGTTCATAAGGAATAGTACTGAATGCATCTCCAGGCTTTGCTGGATCATACATGTGTAGCACAAACTATATCCTAAACCTTTTCTGTCTTGACTTTTTGTAGTGACTAGTACCTAAACAATCCACTTTTTTTTTTTAGGGAACTCTCACGATTTATTGCAGCCGGTCGACTCCACTGCAAAATTGATAAAGTCAATGAGATCGTTGAGACAAACAGGTGCAGTGTATTCTCACAATGACAAAAAAATATCCATTGACTGGCTCTTTTCCAGCAGTATGTGTTGGTTTTCAAAGGCTAATTTAGTAACTTCGTTTTTTTTTAGGCCTGACAGTAAGAACTGGCAGTACCAGGAAACCATAAAGAAAGGAGATCTGCTGCTGAACAGAGTCCAGAAGCTCTCCAGAGTCATCAACATGTAACCTAATATGACTTCTGCTCCTCGGGTTCAGGGGCAGTGCAGACCTCGCGTCCAGGACTGGCTGCCTTTGGTGGGGGTGGGGGCTTAAACTTTATGTATATAATACATTTTTTCCACAAACAGGAATGGTTGCTTTTGACGAATATTACTTTTTTCAAAGGCACATTCTTTACTATAATGGACATATGAAAACCCAGACTGAAGTTTAGTACTGATGTGATGAGGGTGGTTCTGCCACTTCCAGGTAATGGATGCCTCATTTTGAAGCAATTTCTGCTTTTACTCTGTCTTGTAAAAATAAATCTGGACATGTTACGCATATGGCTGAGGAGCAATTACAACAGCTTGTCTAATGACAGGAATTCTCTAGGGTGAATCAGGACACACATATGACTGTATATCGCATTATTCAGCAGCCAGCCCCCATGAGGTAGAATCGTTGATTTACCAACATCATATTGTTCATTCCTGTCAGCAAAGACAGTGGCTCAGATTAGTACTATACATTTAAGAGAAGTGCCCTTTGTTTGTGGTAATGCCTGGTAAATCACTGCAAGGTTATCAAGTTACATACTGCATCCTTCCAGCCCAAAAAAAGTACTGACGAGTATTGAAGAAAGAGGTTAGCCAATTTTAACGTATAAATAACAGTATAAATTATTTTTATTTACAGAAAACTGTTACAAAACAGGCTATACAATCTTTAAATATTTAAATCTATTCAACTACATTTGTCGAATATAGCAGCCAACACAAAGTCCAGCTGATCAGATGCATGTGATTACTTGTCCAAAAATCAACTATACACACTTGTACAGTGGAGTTTGCATTTATAAGGATTCCCAAAAAGAAGCTTCTCTCAGTTTTTGATTCACATTACAGTTCTGTAGTGCCAAATCAAATACATCTATTGTTCGAGTATAAAAACATGGAGCATAAGTAGGTTTGCCAGACATAAATTGGGGAGGGGGCGCCTTTCTTGCTCACTCACATTCCAGACCACAGGTCATATTCCGGTTTTAACAACAGATTTTTATCATTTAGATAGAACTCTGCATTATAATTAACAGCAGTCTAAACAGATTAACAAAAGGTGGCAAACTCCTCCCCCACCATTTATTTCATTAGCCTCCCCCAAAATGTTACCACAACTGGGAGCCAAAGACAGATGGGGGTAGGAAAAGGCAAGTTCTAACCTTCAAGTCATAACAAAATGAAAGACAGCTATGGGAAACAGTCATAGTGTAAGTATTTCAGGCACTTTTTTCTAAGAGCTGCAAAAGATACTAAAAGTAAGAGCAGTGCTTCAAATGAAATGTTTGGCAACCATGATGCAAAAAGCTGCACTTGTGTGTTGAAATGCCCCCTCCTTTCCTATTTTAGTCCTTGTCCTACTCCTAAACTCTGAGGTATAGTGCTGCCGGAGCTGTCACCACTGCTCTCTGCATAGGGTCACAATTTAAGGTGGCCGTCCTCAGTCCAGGTCCAGTTTGAACTGGTTAATCACCGATATTCCTGGCACAGAGGATTACATTGGATTAGTTAGCATGATTCGCCTGGTGCTTAAGCGCCTACCCAGACTGGAGACCCACACGAGCGCGATTTCAGAACCTCGTTCGTAAACCAGTCGACATTCTGAAGGCCACCACAGCTTCTAGTGAGATTTTTTTGTTGAATGAACCACTCAAGTCAAACTCTCATGCGACACATATGAGAACAGAGACTGGCAAAGCTGGACTGGCTCTGAATTATCCTACTGACACTGGGATAACTCCCAGCATGTGCTGGTTTTTATTACCCCTGTCACATGAATCAATTTTGACATTTCTGGACTTCATGTAAAGGGTCCTTATCAATAAAAAGATGCACAAATTAGTTTTTATTGCCCTGAATATAGTGCAATATATTATAACCTAATTAGAATTAATTATTCATATTAACAGCTTCAGAATAATTAACAATGATTAAATGACTGATAAAGCTAATTACGTGGAATACTAAATTGTACTATACAAATGAATCAAATTGTGTTATGGTAACAACTTTTTTTATTACAAGATATTCAATCTGAAAGACACTGGATAGAATAAAAACCAATTGAAAGGAAGCATGTGGGGTAGGTACTGTGTTAGGGACAGCAGCAAACAGGTAACCAGAGACTACTAGCTGATTCCTCTGTCCAATTTAGCTTCAGTTCCAATGCATTTTTAAAAAGTAAATTATTGAATATATTAAGTGCACCCTGCGGATCTTTGTGCTGAGGTGCATGAAATTCCAACAGGCCACATAGGACAATGGGAAACAGGTGCTCTTGTGAACTAAACATTAGCCACAGTCCAAAAGCCCTTAAAAACTCACCAGCACTGGAGACCTGATTCTGAAACCAGCTTGGAGCTTAGCAGCAGAATTTCATTAATCTGTCAAATTCAGCTGTAAAATAAACATCTTTGAATAAACAATGCAATCAGAGGGCCCTCGGGAGAACAGAAATGTGTTCAGACGCCACAAACAGGGATCCAGTGACAGCACTTTACCTTCCAAGGGACTGACCATGCTTCTAAGAGATGTTATGTGTGTGTTATAGGCATATTGCATTATTGGCTTGGCAGTGAACCACTTTAAAACAAAAGAGTAATCTCGACTAAATACATATTGAATTTCAATTGTACCAAAATGGATAGGAAAAAATTCTTGTGCAAAAATACATATTTAAATATGTACAATTTAGTTTTTTTTTTAACAAAATACATATTCTGGAATTTCATTATCTGTATAATACATACAAGAAAAACCCCGAAGCAGAATAAAAATGGACTGACTTACAGCTACGCTTGTTGATTGACATCAATATGGTATAGAAATCTACAGGAGTTAAACAGCCACGGCCGGCAGCTCTGTGGCCACATTCAGATGGCTGCCAAAATGCTTCAGAGGGTCATTACAGTGGTATGGGGAGGATATCAACATAAGAATCTGCGTCACATCCAAGTCCAGCTCAAGCGTCCTCTCCCCAAGCATGTGCAGGTTCAACTTAAAACCCCAGCAGGGGGATTCTGTAAGAATCATCATTTAAATCACAGGTAAACATTTAATTTATATGCTGAGAGTGAAATGAATTGCTGTGACATTCTGTATCTGTACATTTAACATTCTAACTGTTGTGCAGTTAAGATGGGCTCAGTATTTGGGAGTAGGATCAGGACCATCTTAAAGATTATTATCTGACAGTAAATGTTTATGCTTTACTAGAACTACTTCCTCTACATAATGTGCTCCAATTTTGGCGAGCAGGCAGAGAAACAAAATTGCATAACCTGTGCAGAAAATCATGCCATCATCATGTTTATGCCAACAGTTCAGTGTGCTGGCATTTTGTCTGACAATGGTGCTGATTTTAGGGTGAACCCAGGTAGTACAGTAACACTGAAAACAGAGGTTGTTAAATTCCCAATTCAGCAGTTTGGTTTGGTGTTTCTCTCACACACACACACTGACACAGATACACACACACACACACACAGGTCTTCTCTAGAATGAAGAGAAACATGATGGCCCAATCTGACCCCTTTAGCTGAAGCTGAATCAGAACATAGATGGTCGCTGGGGCCCTGTGTGAAGCCTGCATCCACACCGCTGGCACGGTCGAGTCCCCCCCCAGCTCCCAGCTGGACCAGCCCCACACTCAGGCCCTTCCTCAGGCCTCCATCCTGCACTCCCCACTCCTCCATCTCGCCTAAACCACTAGGGTACTTCAGGACCTGTAGTAACTGTCAATGTCACGCAAAATAAAAACGGGGAAAAAAATGTAAATGATAAATGTGTGAAATGGCGGTAACTCCTGATAGTTTTCTACCCCGACCGTCCTGTTCCCCCAGAGGCTTGTTTCAGGTCGTCTATGCCTGTCTCTTAATATTCCAGTGGTTTGGCAGAACCTTACCAGTCCCACCACTAGGTGGTGCTCTGACGACTCTGCACCTACGAGGCCCAAAGTGGCCTAGCCCCGTACCTCACATCTTCAGTGCACGGTCACAGGGCACGTGGCCCCCTCCAGGGAAGAGTGGCCGAGCCCCGTCCACATCACCGGCGAGACCCTGGCCCGGTCGCCCGGCGACGTGAGTTTCCTTCGCGGACATGGCTTTTCATCGGGCGACTCTCGCTGGGCGCCGTCGACGCTCCGGTCGGATCTCCACCCCTGAGGATCGCGGGAACAGTCGATGGCAGAAAGGCCTCATCCAGCGGAGAGTGTCACGGTGACGAGGGCAAGCCAGCGTTCAGCCCCGGCGCTCAGCATGGCAGGGGGCCGCACAGCCGTCATCAGGGACGCGCCTTTGGCTGCGTGAGGTGAAAAGCGAGCGCCGATTAGCATCGTGCTTTACCAGCTTACCTCAAGGGCCAACAGGCTCCCATCCGCCTGCATCTCCTTTGTTTATCTTCCCACTTAAGTACCTGTGACTCTACATGCGCGAGAATCCTCTCACAGATCCAGCTCCTAAAAGCACCATCACGGACATGCAGCACTGCTCCGGCACTAACACTAACCCATGTTTCATCTCCGCTTCCGCCAAATGCACCCCTATTCATTCCGCAGCACTCAGACTGGCGACGCACACCGGTGAAACCGTATAAAATCAGGGGAAGGTTGTCAGCTGGGCGAAGTCACCTGTTGTATGAAGGAGTTGTTGGGAAGCCCTTGCAATCCAGAGATGGGGCGGCCATGTTTGCCGTGGATGTTGTTGATGGTAGGCGCCTTGGGCAGCTTGATGGACCTGCCCGAGCCGGGAGCCCCCCCTCCGAGCGCCCTGCTCCCTCCGTCCATGCCGGCCGAGCCTAGGGGCATCTTGCGCCTTTTTCCTTCCAGCCGGTGCTCCAAGGAGCCGTGCGCGGAGCCGGCGTGCGAATTGCCCGTGTGCTCAGTGACTGTCTGGTGCACGAATGGCCCCAGAGACAGCGTGGAGTCGCTGCTGTTCATCACCACGCTCATGCGCTTGATGGACTCGGCCGGGCTCCCCAACGGGGGGCCCCGGCTTGGCTGCTCGTGTTTCACACTCACAGAGTTGGTCCTGCCTGCGGGGGCACTGCTGTGGCCCGTAATGTGGGTAGCAGAGGGTGGCGTCGGCGAGTGGTGCTGCGTGCCAGGCGTCGTGGCACAGTTCTTCTTGAAGGTACCAGAGGAAGATGAGGAGGATGAGGAGGAAGACTGCAGCGAGGAAATCGGATGGGCGGGCAGAGGGGAGCTGCTCTTCCTCTTCTTCCCGGAGCCGACGCCAGCGGAGGTCAGCACAGTGCCAGAGGAGTCCCGAGACTTAAACTGCTTGCTGCTGGGTTTAGACTTAGGGGACCTGCTGGACGAGGGCACGGCCGAATGGCCTAAAGGCACCTGCGGCCACAGGGACACCTGGCGGACGGGCGCGCCGTAGGCGGGGGGCTCCATGCCGCCGCCCGGAGACACACGGGCGTTCAGCGTCGTCCCGTAGGACAGCACCGCCTTGCTGTCCAAGGACTGCGCGTACGGCGGCGGGACGAGCACCGGGGAGGAGGTGAGAGAGGCGCTGCAGGGGAAGCTGGTCGCACTGCCGCTGCAGGGGGGCGCCGGCTGTGAGCTTGTGCTGGTCCTGTGAGGCAGCGGGGAGCAGAGCGCCTCCGGGGCCGGCGGGATTTTCCTAGGAAACATCACGGGCGTAATGAAGCACCAAAGGGTTTCTTAAATGCTGCAAAAATGTTTTAATACAACGATTTACAAGCTTTTGCGAAGGCAGCCCCTTCGTTGTCCTGAACTCCAAATATCACAGGGTAGGAATAATAAACTGCTTTCATTCGAAGAAATTCCAATATTAATTATAAATCTATACTAAACACCTAGCACATCATTGCACAGCAACCTAAGCCCATTGTGTGAGGATAATGACGAGAAGGTAATAATATATAACAGAGATGCAGCGATCCGATATTCGGATCGGTATCCGTGCTGATCCAGGCCTATTGGACGTATCGGGTATTGGCCATATGTGACCGATCCACGTATGATACTTACTTATTCCGTTTCTGGCAGTCTCTAAAAAAGCTCCTGTTTCATGTTAAATCTATTTCTATTTGTACGATCGATGTTACGACAGCGCTTTCTCATTGTGTTTTTTGTAGGCATCCAAGCTGAATGCTAACGCTGCCACTCTGTTTTGCTTCCACTCAGTGGGCGTAAGTGCAGTGACTTCCGCCTGATATGTCGTCATGCGCGTACCCTTCGCAGTAGGGGGAGCGTAAGAACATCAGATAAGAGGGTGACCACCTGGAAATATTCTATGCTTTTAACATCAACTAATAGCACAGGTTTTGCAATCTTTGAAAAAACAATATGGTTTGAGAGGTGGGAGTAGCGTTTAGTGGAAAATCACACTTAAGAGAGCGCACACGATTGTGCGAGACGCCGTGTGTAATGGATGGTTTGGGAGTCGCTAACTGCGCACTCGCTACAGTATGTGATCCATGAGGGGCTGCTGTCGCAACGAAGAGCAACAGATGCTGTTGCCCGTGGGAGAAACATCGTGGGGCATTTTAAGCATTCGCCACTTGTGTATCGTAGCTTGGAAGATATTCAGATTGAACTACAAATACCTCATAAAGGCTTAAAACAAAATGTACAAATGAGGGAACAGGGCATTATATATGTTACCAGTAGCCAGTTAAAATTAAAAAAAAAAATTTGGCATACATTTTTTCATCCGTATTTACTGGCTTAAAAATATTAATGACGTATAAAGTATTAATATAATATATTTATTTATTAATTAAAATATTACAATAAAAAAGCTCCTGTATCAGACTTCAGTATCGGCAGTTGTGCATCGGAATCAGATTGGAACTGAAAAAATGCGGATCAGCCCATCCCTAATAATGCTAGCATGTAACAACACATTTTTATGTATTTAGCTACCCACAGGACAGAAATGTCAGCAGCAGCAACAAAGAGACAGCTTTTTGTGGCATGCAATTAAAACAAATGACTGATACACAGCTAAGATAGGCTTTTGTGAATGAAATACAGCCAAGGAAAAAAAAATTAAGAGACCACTCTATTTTTAAACCAATCGCAATTTTAAGTCCTGGTTTAATCATGGTTTTGAAAAATTCAAAAATTCTAAGACAGCAGGACACAAAAATAAGGTGAAGCAGGAGACACTGGGAACGACCAGAAACCAGCCTGGTAAACGGCGGAAGCGACATTCTAATGCTAGAGATGACCGTCAACTTATCTGACAGTTTCTCATGAATCCGAGGATGACATCAAGTGACCTTCAGAAGGAATGGGAAACATTAAGTGCAGGTGTGAAGTGCACTGATAGGACAGTGTGTTTCAGACTCCTAGAAGCAGGACTGAAGTCCAATAAAGCAAGGAAGAAGCCCTTCATTAATGAGAAACAGGGAAGAACCAGGCGAGAGAGATAGATAGATAGATAGATATATAGATATAATCCACAGGCACACACCTATAAATCGGCAAATGGGGGATTATGCTGTGGTCTCTTCGGCGTCTGCAGCTTAAAAGCTAAACATCATCATATCGACATCAATCAAACTGGCTCCAGTTTAGTCTGTGTGTGACTAGGCTTGGGCAGCATCTAATATTTCATTCTGTCCAGACATTATATAGAATATTTTGGTGGATTTCCAATAGCAACAACATGCCATTATTCTAAAATTTTGGTGATAAAATTTTCCGAGTGGCCAGACTGCTATACTACACCTTTCAGGTTTTTGGGAGTTTCTGTATTGTCGCATTGTTCTTGTCACTAAACAAAAATGAGGGAATGTGTGTTAATTGATTAATAGTAGCCCAAATAAATCTTCAAAAATTCAAATATAGAATTTTGCCGTCGCTTATGTAAAAAATTTTTACATTTGAATTTTGTTTGAGCAATGAAGTTCAGACCCCCAAGTCTGTCTCAGGGTACTAATGAACACTCAGTCAAACTCAGATCCATGAAAACTCTCTTTGTCCTAAATATGCTCATTTCATCCCAAAATATAAAGTAGGGGTGGGGGTCCTGTCAGATGCAAGGAGAGAGAGAGAGAGAGAGAGAGAGAGAGAGCAAGCCAGCCAGACAAAGGGGTAGATGGGGGGGGGGGGAGAGAGCAAGACACCAAACACTAGCTTACTTCCACAGGTGTGTGTTGATGTGTCGATCCACCATAGCGCTGAGGGCACAGCGGACTCTGTCCAAGCGCCGGTTGAACCAGAAGCAGCTCCTTCCTAGCTGGTGGCTCCCAAACGTGCAGAACTGTGCAGAGGCGGGAATGACAATTGATGAAAGACCCAACTAAACGCACCCCACAACCATCCATTCTTAACGGCACTGGCTGTCATTTATGGGCTTTCTCTATTGTAGGAACAGCCAAAGACGTTCAGTGTTAGGGCATGAGAGAGCCCCCCCCCCCCCCTTACGAGAAAAGCGGCCGGGCGCCACCCATCGTTTCCATACCAACTTGCGAAGCTGATAGAATTGACCCGGGCATGGCACACTCACAGCTGCCGGCCGGGGGTGATGGCTTGAGTAGTGGCAGTCCAGCTTGTCTGTGCCATCCTCCTTCTCCTCGTTCTCGCCTTCATCGCTGGAGAGGCGGGGCGGTCCATCGGGGGGCACGGTGGAGGGATGCAGTGAGTCCTGAAGCAGGCCGGGCTCTCCCTGGGCATTCCCACAGGGGTGCGAGGAGGAGTGCAGCCTTCAAAAAGGTTAGAAAGAAGGAAAAAAAAAAAAGACGATTCTCATGTCCAATCTCGTGCTGCTTTGCACCTCCGTAAAACACAAAATCCTGTTGGGAGCCCAATCCAACTTTGTCGCCCACGGTTTCTGAGGTGCCTAAGGCGAACAGAACACGGAAGCTTCCGGACACCTACCTTGGAAGACTCTGATTGTGAGGTCTGGGTTTGCTGGGGAGCGAGGGCTTGGCCTCGGAGGTGCCATTGCCTGGCGCCCCCTGGTGAAGGTCATGTACGACGCGTGACGGGGAGGGGTGGGGGTCCCTGAGAAGGGGTGGTTGCTGGGGATGCTCCGATGTTCGCTGCGTCTCCTTCTCCCTGGCCTTGCTCTTGTGCTCCGCCAGCAGGGTGTCGAAGCGCTTCCTGCGGCCCTGAACGGCCCTCCGCTGGCTTAAGGAATGTGTCTGTGGGACACGCGGGCCAGTTAAAGCTTGGCGGCCGGCCGTTACGTCACGCTAACCCGTCACCGTGCCCGACAGGGGCTCTGATTCGACTCCCACCTTGCATGTCAGAGATCTCGTGCATGGCTTCCGCGTCACCAGGTCCAGAACACCACAGTGAAAATCCGCGTTAAACTCTCGTTCTGTTGGAGGAGGGTAGGAGAAATAAGACATTTGAGGAGCACGTGTTCTCTGATCTGCATCGGCTTCCTCCAGGGAATCTGACGTGGAATTAGGCCACCCGGACCTCGAAATCGCTCACAGTGCGTGTGTGTTGGGATGGACTGGTACCCCATTCAGGGTGCTGCCCTGCCGCAGTGGGCAGCTTGGGGGAAAGTCCAAGGCCCCCGACCAGCTACTAGTGGGTCAAAGGGCAAAAAGGCAGCGGCAGCACCGAATAATACTGATAATCATCATATTTTTATCTGATTTCCCACACCGATAACATTTGCCAGTGGTGAAACTTGGTGAGCTTGCTTGGTGAGATTAGCGGAATAACGTTACATTGCCTTTTTTAGTCTGTGAAAAACAAAAGATTGCTCTGTGGTTCTGATTCAATAATGCACTACAGAGATGTCGCTGGTCAGTACTTTGAGACCTCATAGAAGTGCTGAATGAATTGACGAAATCCCTCATCCTCTGCTATAGAAAATGGCAAATATAATTACCTCCATTATTTGACTACACATGTCTTTACCTCTGGTGCTGTTATCTCTAAATATAAAGTTTCAATACTGGCTGACAATAATGACCAAGACAGACACTATAATAATGCCAATAACTTGATTTTTAGCAAATATTAGCTGGCACTAATATATTGTATTCAACTGTTATTTAAACTGAATTCTGCACTAATGTTGGACTGCTAAATCGCATCGGCGTGTTATTAAAATCAGATTCCAACTGCACAGTGGTGTTTCCACTCAGAGTTCATTTAAGTGAACTTTGACTCATGACGGTTCTCGTTGCGAAACCAATCCAGTGTGGCTTGGGCGGCTGACCCCTCAATGTCATGGCAGGACAGTTTATGTGCATTTGCACTGTTATGACAAGAAAGTTTTTCTTAATAAAAACTATGGAAGAATGCATTTGTTCTGATAAGACAAGAAATTACCTGTGAATTTAACCCTTTATACTGCTAATGTGTACTTGTGTAATTGCAACATCAATCCCTGTTTGTAACACATTAACTATCACGCTTGTCACTTACCTTGCCACATGGTATTTTCAAAAGGAACAGTTCATTCGCCAAACAAAAATAACGCTGTATACCATATTCTGATGATGCCCAATTTTGCTCCATACTGCAAATATTTGAGTTTATGTAACAGTATTTTTACTTGAACCTGAGACCTTATCAGACTGTTTGTACTGTTGGCAAATTGAGAATCCAGTGTTGCTTGAACTGCATTACTTTCATTAAAATTGTCCTGCTTTTACTATCAGCCCTTTATTCCTCATTTGATGTATTTGAAACAGTTTTTAGTTTGTAAACCTTACTATACTTTATTATACAATACAATGCTTAGTGTTTAGTTTTATAATAGCGCAATTTTTTTTGGGGATTATTCATCAAATTAGTCCACTAATCGACTAATTGCCAGCTAACAAAAACAGCTATCAGGTGCAGCCCAAATCACAGCTCGTTGGTAGCTTAGTTGTTGTTCCTGATTTGTTACTCATACTATGATTTCAGTGGAGGAACAAACAGTTTCAGTACTGACCAGATATCCTTTTCTGCCTCTTATAGCTGGTGCTGTTCTCCTGCTTCTTGTCCAGTGATGACAGGAGCACTTTGCCATTGGGAATGGGCCCTGGGGCCAGCAGGGCGGCCTTTGGTATGGAGGTAAGGCTGGGCTTGGAGCTCACAGTGGTAGAGGATGGGGAAGCATGGATCAGCTTGGGAGGTGTGTCTAGCACCTTCACCGGTGCCGTGTCCACTTTCACGCCGGGGCTTATTCTGCAGAGGAACAGGGAGGACGCACTGAACAGAAATCCATCCACCTTTGAAAATCCTACCAAACTAAAACGCTGGCTTTGCACAAACTCTCTCTGCATTTCGCAGATTCTAATGCCGAGATAAAGTCACTGTCATCATGCAGTGTGATGAAAACATGTAAACGCAGTTTTTGCTCACATGCAGTGGAGGTCCCTGCCCAGTATCTTCAACACCCGACAGTTCTTAAGCCATACGCCATTGAGCACAGCAATGACCTCGGGTGATTTGAACCCAAAACCCACTGGTCAAAGTCCAGCACTGAGCACTTACGTTTTATCAGGAAGCACCTTGTGAGACAGCATGGGCCTGCTGTTGTGGATGCCATGTGCAAACTTCTCTTTGGCCAGTTTGGGGATTTTGGAGTTGGAGGAGGAGCCATTACTGTTGGGGGTACGCCCGGCCCCCCCTATACCCCCGGTCCCCCCGGCCTTGAAGCTGGTCAGCAGAGTGGAGAGGGGGAACGTGGAGGTGGATATGGAGGAGGATGGGGGCTTGCTGGAGGAGCTGTGCCTTCGCTCTGTGGGGGAGGGGGGGATGGGCAGGTCAAAGGTCATGTGTGACGCCATAAGCCAATTTACCCACAATTCCATAGGAACCCAGGGAAGGCAGTGCCTGGAACGCGGGAGTAAGGGCCACAGGCTGATGCTGGGGCTTCCATTCCGATAACGAAAAGCAACAGAATTTAACTATGACAAAGCAGCAGAGCTGTAAGGCTGTAGCCAACAGAACCACACTGTCATGCTGCCCTGGCTGATCTCATTGTTTATTCTGACACACTGCCACAAAAATAACGAGAGAACAAAACATTAATACAGAAGGTGGCCATATTGTATAAGCCTGTGACACTGGTAGCTTAATTTTGCAGTATATTCCTGATGTAGCATGAGACGATGCAACAGAGACTCTACACAATTACAAATACAAAAGTGAATTATACAATATGTTGCTAGCACATCACATAAAAAATATTTTATTATATAAAACTATGCAAGTGGGTTTAGCTGAAGTTCTCTACTAAGTCTAATGAATATTCATAATCACAGTAATGGTCTCCACAGAGATAAGCAGGCATCTCCGCATCCATTTAGTTAATGCTCAGCTTCTAAAATAAGCGTCCGGATCTTCAGGAAATCCTTCAGCTGCCCAGCCTGGAGATCTCCGCAGGTTGCCATCTAGCAAACAAGAGCTTTGAGTCGCAAGCTCTGAAGTCCATGAAAGCTACAGGACGAATGGCAAGAAAAGCGTGCGGAGGGAAAGAGCAGCCATTTCACCTGTAACAAACCCCTACGAGTCGCTCTAGCGGAGTACAAGCCCACAGCGACTGCATTCTGGCAGCTAAATAAAGCATAGCGTTACAACCCGCAGAATAAAACAATACATCCAGCAGGGGGAGCTGCAGACACTCGGGTGCTGTGCATCAGCCGCATGCAGATTCACATTTCAGATGGTCACACTTTCACATATTACGAGTAAAACTGTAGTTTTGCAATTATTAGAAGAAATTATTCCACCACTGCTAAACAATAAACGCAGTAATACCAGTCGTCAGATTTCAGTACGCAAACTGGGAGACGAGAGTGTGATGTGATCCCACCGATGCACACAAACAAGCCAGGGCTGAAGCAGCAGAACAGAGTGATGGACGTCAGTACGGGTCCTCAAACAAGACGCAGAGAAACGGCCCAGCGGCACCCCGGCGTAATGCAGAGGCAGGGCTGCGGGTGTCGGGCTTAGCGGTGTGGAGCTGATAGCTCGCTCGGAACCTGCCGGGGTGCGAGTGCCACCACGAGATACTGCGAGACGAGCAGGTAATGCCATGGGGCCGTCCCACCCTGCTCCTCTCCCCACCGGACCGGTCCTGCCGGGCAACTCCCCACACCTGCCTCCCACTCCATGCAGATCTGGGCATGCGGCCAGTATGGGGGGGGGGGCTGGGCCCTTGCTCAGGAATAGGGAGTAGCGCGCGGACTGGCTGCCCGCTATACCGGCCCTCAAACGGTCACCCAGTCTTTAGTACAAGATGGCATCCTCCGTCCCACAGATGAAGCCCACACTCGTTTGCTTCCTGTCCACACACCTCCAGAAAGCCTTGGCGTCACGCCCCGCTGGCACCCTCTGCTGGTGGCGTGGAGACCGCGCAGGCGCCAACGTGCTCTCAGAGGAAGTCTGTGGGAGGAGTCACCCTCCACCTAACAGGGCCGTACCAGTGCCTGTTCATGCAAATGGACGACTCCCGTCATGGGCGGGGGGTTGGCAGCCTTTATTGCTGCACACATGCAACAGGCACAGGCTGTGGTGGCCTTATTATTACCCGGCATCAGCAGGGAGATACAGCAGGTCTCGGGGAGGGGGGGGGCATCTATGTTGTGACTGATTCTACTACAGTACAAGTTCAAACTAATTCAGAGAGCAAATGGTAAAAGGAACCATAATAATATATGATACTTAAAGACACAAGTGCTGGATGATTTTCAGTTTTATTAGCCTTCTTCATACACAGATCACAGGAAGACGAGCGGCGTGTGTGTCATGGTCCTCACCAGTATCTAGTAATACCCTACTCAGTCCTATTAAGCTCAGGGAAGAGGCTGCAAGAGGATTACGAGCATGCAGACCTCTTGGTGACACTAGATTATCATTGCTGTCTTCATTTAAGCTCTAAATGCCTAAATATAAACCTCTAAGATATAAATCTTCAATAGCGTGTAAAGACAATTTGCATGCAGCAAGAGTGCAGGTCTGATCAAAGCAAGAGTACAGTGAGCCCTCGTGCATTTGCGCTTCGTGATTTGCGAACTCACAGATCCGCAAAAATTTCATTGGAACCGAACTTATTTGCATCCGCGATTTTTTTGCACATCTGCGTTCCTTTTTATGTACATACTGTACTGTACCTTTACAAGATGCGAATCCAATTCGCAAAGTTTATTCCCTTTGGAACGGTCATGACCTGCTCGTCTGATCCTCCCGTGTGCCACGCCTCCTCATCTACCTCGTGTGGAATCCCCGTGTGATCAGCGCTGTTTCTAGTTGCTGTCATTAGTCCTGTGTATTTAAGTCTGCATTTAAGTATGTTTCCCAAGTCCGGTCATTTAACGTCATTTTGAGTTTGCTGCCTGTTCCGTTGTCCTGCTTGTCTTTACCTTTTGATTAAACCCCGTGTTCCCCAATTCCTTGAGTCCTGTCCCGGCTTCCCCGGTCCGTGCCCCGGCAATACGTGACAGGAATGCTAATGGTTACATAAATATTAGAAAATAGTTAATATACTATTTTGTAATAGTAAGTACACATTAACGTAAATTCAACGCACAAAAATTATGCATTTCTTGAAAGGTGCTAATGTTTACATACATAGCAAATGCATCCCGGATTTCCCTCTCGAGACGCATTTGCTATAAACACTGAAAGGGTTGGTTTTTAAAGGTAATGTATTAAGTTAACTTTTAAATTAAATTTAAGTGTTTTGGGAGCATATTTAGGGTATAACCTAGAAAAAAAAGCACATATTACCATTTTTAGTGACTATCAAACATCCGCGAATCCTCCTCATTTGCAACGGGTTCTAGAACGTAATCTTGCGAATGTCCGAGGTCTTACCGTACTGACTCTGTACCTTAGCAAAATTACTTTGAATATGACACAAATGGCCTAAAATGGGGATCAATTCCGATAGAAGCCTTAACTGAGTAAAAGAACCGAGTTAGTGAAATGTGAACCTTGTGTAATTCTCCAAAGCAGCAGTAGAGGGCACTACAGTACAATTTTCCTCTGGAGTCTTTCAGGAAGTCATTTTACAAGCACTGAGCAAATGCTGTGGTAAGCTACATACAAGAAACATACTACATACTAAAGGGACTGCATCCAATTTCATTGTATTTTGTATGATGACAATAAAGATTCATTCATTCATTCAGAAGTATATCAGCATTTAATTAGTATTGCTCCCTTAAAAACATTTTCTAGAGAGAACATCTTTATACCAACCTTCATGTAATCTATACTTTTTAGGAATCATTGTTTACCGAAAAGCTGATCAAGTCAATAGTAACCAGGTAACATTTAAGACCAAAAACTGGAAATACATTGGTAGGTGCGTGTGTGTCTGCTCACAGTCAGCACTGAACACATAAGGTGGGGGGGGGGGCAGCAAAGCAGAGACATCAGCAGAGGTACTACACCACGCTAATGGCATCTTTGCATTTACATCAGCCTACCTTGTTACACATGACCATTAATGCACTCGCATTCTCTCTCGTTCTCATCTGCTGCATTACGAGCTGCCAACTAGCCCACAATTTCCTTAAAGTGAAATAAACCCCTCCAGCAAAAATGCAGCTTGTGGCTGAACACGCCTGGGGAGCGAAGTGTTCACCAGGCCTGTAAGAGAGCAGCCTGCTAACAGGTAACACTCTTCATGCGCTGCGAACCGGCAGCGCTCTGCTCAGAGCGCGCATCTCATAGCCGCAGAAACTGCACTGTGCAGAATCAATCCGATGAAAATCCTGACGCATTTAGCAAAACTGCTGCTGGGAATAACTGCATCACAATACAGCTCCTTCAGGAGTTACCCAAGACGATACTCCGCAAACATCTCCTCTTACATAACATTTATTTAGCATTTTTTAAATGTTATTAATTTAGCAGACACTTTTCTTCAAGTGAGAGGGCAGGGTCAGACGGTCCCTGGGGCGGCCGGGTGATAAAAGCAGTGACATCACTCTGCCAGTGACAGGGGCCTTTACCTGCTGAACTGCACGCCACCAAACCAGATCCCCGCAGAGAGATATCGGCTCGGCTGCTCATTGACAGGGAGTTAAAGGCCTATCAAGCCCTCCGCCTCAAACCCCGGGCCAGGCAGGGCTGAAGGCTTCAGCTACCTAACAGTCACAGGAATTAGTGGCGATGCATTCCAGGTAGGGCTTGACGATACGGCAAAATGTTTTAGTGTGGCATTTTTCATACCTGTCAATATTAATATCATTGTGATGATCTTCATTATTTTTTATTTCAAGGCTCCATTTTTGACCAAATTCCCCTATAATTGCCCTTAAACAGATTCAGAACATAAAAAAATTAGGACAAATTGCATGGACAAAAATCCAATTTTGTGAATAAATCATACAGAAACATGTCATAACATCAGAAAACGCTGACGGTGCGGTTTGTTGCTGGGTCTGTTGTCTCTCTCTGACTGTAACGGTCCTCGTTTTAGGGGACGGACTTGATATTTCAGGCACAGGTGCCACCAGTAATCGTCAAACTGTCCGTACATTGACAGCTGTGTCCCTAGAAAGACTTATCTGGCAAGTGACTTAAAAAACAAGCAAAAAAAACGAAGGCTACATTTTTAAATATCATGTCTGTTGAAAAATTTTATTTTGATTACAATGTGTCAGAATTCGCCACAATGCTGACCCCCGGTTGCCATCCATCCCATACTGAAGAACAAAATGCTGTCACATTTTAAACCAATACAGGATGAGATGTGTCATCAGATTGAAAGCGGGAACCGTAACT